AAGATAAGATAAGTGAAAAATTATTTTCATTACACCTTTGGAAAATTTTTTTTATATTAAATGTGTGTGCGTATTTAACATTTTTCCTGGTATAATCTTGAATTATCTGGATTTTCTATATTGAGTTTCGATGATGTCCCATATAATGACCCTGACCTAACATAAATCAATTACACTTAAATAAGGACTTAGATAAGAAAAAAAAAAAGAAGTTTCATTTCTTCCATACAAATGGCTTACTTGACATGGAAAAATCTTCTGTATTATAGATATAATTCAACTGCAAATATATATTTAAAGAAAAGAAGAAAAAAAAACGTGCCAAGATGAATATGAACTGGTGATCATCATCATCATCATCATCATCATCGTGAGGAATCACGTTATTCAGTCGGCAATGAACGCCTGACTTCGAGTGTGGAATTTAAATCCCTTTAGTGCATATATATATATATATATATATATATATCTAATGCACACACAACCAAATGCATTGTATGAATTCGTGTCTCGAAGCATAAGTTGATGTGCATACATAAAATACGATCATTTCTTAAAAAAGAATTTTTTTCTCTAAGGTAATTTTATGCGGTTCTATTTCTTTTTTATGATTCATCTCAAAAATAATTCAAAAAAAAAACTTTTCTAGAAAGAAACCTAAACAGCAAAAAATTGTACCCACATAGCCAAATAAACATTCGCAAAAAAAAAATAATAATAATAGTAGTAGATAAACTTTTTTAAGGAAAAATTCAATTTTTGTAATAGTTCATTTTACGTAACAAAAAATCAAATAAAAAACAAAAAGGTCATAAATTGCTTCATCATACCCCGAGGATCGTATAACTTTCTGCTTCTAATTATAATTAGTTCAAACAATTTACTAATGATATATAAATAAAAGAAAAAAAAATTTATTACTCTCATTATTATTAATTATCCTCTTTAAGGCAAAGCGCAAACGAATAAAAACGATTTGATAAAATAGACACACGAGAGTCATGGCCAAAAATAAATATATATATATATATCTATATTCTCAAATATATAAGAGAAGTTGTCTCCTTTCCTCATTGACCTCCGATTTTTTTCTGACCCAATCCAACAAGTTTGTCTTGACTATATATATAATGAAAAAAAAAAATTTTTAACAATCAATCAATTCGATTTAAGGAAAAACGTTTAAATAAAAATCTTTAAAAAGAATGTTATTCGCGCTAAATTGCAAAAAAATATTAATAATTATTCATTGAAAAAAAAATGACATAATTCTTGAATTATGTATGTGTACTATAAAAATTGTTTATGATTACAATATTAAGAGAATTAATCCATCAACGATATCTTAATTTTTATGAGCTTGAATTTGCATCATTCAAAATGTATAATGAATTTTTAAAATATTTAAATTATATTTATATATAGACACTTGTTTAGTTGATTATATATGAAAAAATAAAATTACACTTCCCAAGAATATCTCGATTTTTTTTTTTTGTTGATTGACTATCCTGATAACTTGACATTTTCCAACAGACATACAGAGGAGGTAACTTTGATTAGATCGGATAAAACTCAACTTTCACTTTAATATCTCTTGTTTGTTTTTAGAAATAATTATTTTTCTCTATAGAAAGTTGCAGATATTTCAAGACAAATCAACGCGTGAATTTTTTTTTTTTTCTAAACACTTTTTCAAAGTTGCTAAAATCTTCAATTTGTCTTTTCTTATTTCTTCAATAAATAATAAAAATTATTACAATAATTAGTAATTATTAAAAATTATCAATTAATTAATAATTACTAATTATTAATTAATTAATAATTACTAATTATTATTTAATTAATAATTACTAATCATTAAATAATTAATAATTACGAATCATTAAATAATTAATAATTACTAATTATTAATTAATTAAAAATTATTAATTAATGTTATTTAAATTAAATTTCCTAAGTTAAAATTAGATAACTGTAATATAATGGACGGCAATAAATTCAGTAGTTCAACAAATGTAACAAAAAAAAAAATAATAATAATAATAACTAATGAATTTGAAAATAGAATGCTGACCAAGGAAGTCCAATTAAGCCAAGTTCAAGGGAACTTAAATATCTCATTATTTTGGCACAAAATAAATTCCTTTTAATTAAAATAGATCTTTTTGAGAGCTTCTAAATTTGAAGGTTATGCTTCCCTCAAAAAAAAAAAAAAAAAACTTATTGGGATCTGAAATACTGCGATACGCCATCTGTTGAGAGCCTTGTTATGGTGGCCATGTTTTCATTACGTCTTTTTCTAACATATATGCAAAAGAAAGAGATAAAAAAAACCGAAGATGGTTGCTCAGGGGTGGGTCAGTTTCGCGTAAATTTCTAATCCCAATTATTATCAAAAATTTAACCAGTTTCCTTTTATTTTTACATAAATACAGAAAAAAGAATAATTTCACATTAAGAGGAAAATTTATCTGTTTAATAATCCCTCACGCAATCATCTCAAATATAGAATTCATTCAAAAGGATATCCCTTTTCAAAGAGATGTCAATTTAAAAAAAAAGCAAATAATAAAAAAAATTAAATAAATAAAAATACGAAAATCTAAAACTATTAAAAATATTTATATACATTCGAATCTTTCAAATAGAGAAAATTTTCCTCAGGCTAATTATTCTATGCATGCAATATTTCTCGTAAATATAAAAACTAGCTTTTCCGGTTTCCTGTTGCGAGAAACAAAATTAAAAAACAAAAATGAAAATATTTTATGTAAATGAACTGTAATGAAAAATATTTTTCCTGACAGAATTGTAAAAATTCTTTTTCTTTTTTCAAAAACATAGAAAAATGATTAAAAATATCATTTTATACAATTTAAATTTTTGTGAAAAAAAATCGCAAAATGAATATTTACAATTTTTGTTTATTTTACAATAAATTCTTTTTGAAATACAAAAAAAAAATAAATTATAATAATAGGAAGAAATAAGTAATATTTTCAAGGACAAGGAAATTCCAAGTCACATTAAAAAAAAAAAATTTACATTAAGAACTCATATTGTAAACATAACTTTCAAGGAAATGGATTAGCTTTAAAATTTTCCAATAATACTGCTTTAAAGATGTGTTTAATAAATTAAATCTTCGATTATAATAATGTAATTTTAACGACGCAAGAAATAAATAAATTCTAAATTTTAAAATGGCGGATCCAATATGTCTGATATAAATATTACTTGGTAATATTTTCATAAACCTTCTCTTTAAAATAAAAACTCTTGATAAAATGCACTTTTAGAATTGTCATAAATATCTCATGGTCCTACCTGTGGCCCAAGAAACAAAAAGCACGTGCTTACAATACTCGGATGTATCATTTCTCAGTGCTCTATTCTTTGTGTATATATATATATATATATATATATATATATATATATATATTTATATTATCGCCTCTACCTATACATTTCTTCAGAAACATCTGCTCCAAAAATAAATCCGTCAAAGGCCGCGTATCTCTTGAGACGAAAACCAATGACGATTTTACTGATTGTAAACGGTTACTTCTATATGGAAGGGAAAAAAAATTTTCTTTCTTTTTTTTGAAACACACGTGTGCAATAGAGAAGAAAGAAACGAGAAAATTCCAAAACGATCTTTGTTCACATTTTATATTCAACAAAAATAGAAAACGAATTTTCTTTATTATTTGACGAGAAAAGAATTAAATGATAAATAAAAAAAATTTCTAAAACATTCGTTAATTTCACACTAATTTAAAAGTATCAAATTGATACCAAAAATATCAAATTGATTTAAAAATTTGTATCAATTTGATATTTTTGGTATCAATTTGATACTTTTAATTTTGTGTGTTAAGATAATAAAATTAATAATCTAAAGTTACTATATAAGAAAATTTATTGTCAACAAAAAATTAAGGAATAGAGATTCATGATTAGCATTGAGAAACAGATATATATATAAAAATTAAGAAATGAGTAAATATTTAGAAATAGATAACAATGTATAAAATGGATAAAATTAAAAATTTCCGAATAAAGCAGATTAACTTAATTTACATTAATTGGTAAAAACATACTTTGAACTAGTTATTATTTTTATTTATTTTATTCCTAAAAAAAATTTTTTTTTTTAAATAAAAGAACGTTTAAATGTTCCCTTAGATCGTTATTCAGTTATTAATTATCGGTAAAATTGTCAAATTGTTAGTCACTTAGGTCTTTATAGGAATTTTTCAGTATCTTATAAGAACAGGGTCAAAGTTTCTTTTTTCTTCTATTACATTGTTTCATAGTGTCATAACAGCAAATGTCATTTAGTTTTTCTTATCGTTTTTCATTTATAACAATAGTCTTATATTTCTAAATTTTAGGTTATGTTATCTATATACCAATAAAATACAATTAAGTCTAAAACTTAATCATATTTTGAAAAGGCATTCTATTTTTAGTTTTATGAGTCATTTAGATTAAAAACTTAAGAAACACAATATTTAATGACAGTAAATCGTTTCTTAAGACAATAATCTTCATTAAAAAAGAAACTCATTATATTCTACAGTTTTGTAATTTAAAAAAGTAATATATATATTCCGATATCAGAATTTTGAAATTCTTTCTCACGTGTAGCTAAATTACGAAAATTTGTTCTTTCGAAAATAACTGCAAAACAGTAGAAAAAGAAAATAAGACTTTGGTACACAAAGAAGTATCTTATTTTAAAATGTTTTAGTCGACTTTTTAAGATGTTTACTTGCTTTCTAAGTTATCAAAAACATCTTAAAATGCATTAGTTTTTTTTTTTAAGATATAAAGATACTTTTGGTAACTTGCTTCCAATGTACTTCTTTTTGCACTGTAGTGAATGAGTGAAACAAACAAAAAGAAAATACACATGCGAGTCATCTAAAAATAGCAATGCTCCAAAGGAAAAAGGAAAAAAAAGGGAGGAAAAAAAGTCACGTGGCACCAACCTGTCGCTCTTGTCAACAACCACCAGGGGCGCGAGAACCTGAAGTGGTGGCTCAGCTGAGATGCCCTGTGCCCGTTGTTTCCTGGGTCGTGGTTTTGTTGGTGTTATTGGCGATTTAAATGGTAATACACTTAAAAATTTATCAAGATGACTACGCAAATCTTGAATTTCAGAATCGCGACGTCGCAATTGCTCTTCAAGATCGGCAATTCTTTCATCTTTGACGCGCAAAAGTTCCTGGAGCTCACGCAGTGTGCCCATGGCGGCGACCGTCTGCTGCTGCTGCTGATGATGATGATGTTGTTGTTGTTGTTGGGGTGCCAGGATAACTTGTGCGGTGGTCCCTGGCAGGGCACCACCACCTTGATCGGGATGAATAACCGTGGTGGAATTTGAATTCGCCAACTGCGATGCGTCTTCCTCGTCGGCCAGCCGCTGCTGTGTCGACGAGAAGCAAAAGGTGTCGAAGCACACGCGCATAGACACGCAGGCGTCGCTGATTAACCGGCACTCGCCGCGGTCCATTCACCCAAAGTCGATGATAATAATAATAATAATAATAATGATGATGATCCAAGTCCACAGCTAATCGATAATTCCTCCTAGTGGCGGGAGATGATGTCTCTCCCAAAGGAATAATAGTGTCTTCTAAATTATCATCAACTATTATCATCGAACAACGAGTTGACGATTTTTAATCGTGACAATACGCGAGGCACCATTGACACGAAGCTTTGATTATAAATCCAAAGAAAAATCTTTTTTAAAAATATTTTTCTATTTTTCAATAAACACACACAATATCAGTGATGAGATTTTATAAATTCACCATGAACGATGTTCACGAGTGACACATCCAAAGTGTTTGGTTACTTCTTTCGACTCGTGAAAAAAAAAAATAAATCCATTCGAACGTGGCGGGATCGAATTAACCAAAAACCCATCCAATACTGTCCCTCCGCCAGTACTGGTTAGGTCGCCTGCCTTCTTCTTTTCAATGGATCTCACGGAAAGGGGGAGTATAGTTGAGAGAATTACAGAACGGTGGCACTCATGTGCTAACAATGTTGCCAATGTGAAGATTTGAAAGAAAACATTGCTTTGTTTAATTTTCATTGTATTCATCAAAAATTTTACACTTTAGTTTTAAGCAAACATTTTTTTAAAAAATCAGGTATTATTAGGTGACAGAAATTTTTTTAATCAATCTGAAAAAGCATACAAGGACGAAATAAACTAGTTTATAATTAATTCTAGATTGTATACACTATTTTATCAAGTCTAGAAGCATATTAAACCTATTTTCAAAAAAGAACAAAATATTAATTCTACTTCCCACTTTTAAAATTTTATATGTTTTCGATTTCATTATATGGAAAGAAACAAAAATATTCTTCTTAAGAAAAAATTGATTTTAAAACATATGAAAACGCGGATGTAAGCGCGCTCTAGTGAGATTCTAGCAAACACTGACATCATCTCGCAAAAGGTAATTCAGGAAACTGTAACATTATTTCTCGCTTTTAAAACATATAAGATATATTCAAAGAATTATTTAAGAAAGCATTAATATTCAAAAAATATTAGAGGATATATAAATAAATTTATTACACTAACTATTGTTTATAAATTGTTTATAAAAAGGACTTTTAGAAATTAGAAGCAATAAGATTTGCCTAAAAATGTTTACAATTTGTGAATAACAACATTGGTTTAAAAAATGATGTACGTTAATATTCTGATCATAAATGATTAATCTATAGATCAATAAATAATAAATATCTACATTATAATTCATTCATCAATACATATAGATTATATATTCATAAATATATGAAAGCCCTAAATTATTATAGAATTATTATAGATCGAAAACATACGGATCTATGATTTTTGGAACAATGATCTACAGATCAATTATATATGGATCAATGATCTATGAATCTATGGATCTATGATCTATGGATCTATGATCTATGAATCTATGATCTATGACCTATGGATCTATGATCTATGAATCTATGATCTATGAATCTGTGATCTATGAATCTATGATCTATGAATCTATGATCTATGATCTATAGATCTATGATCTATGGATCTATGATCTATAGATCTATGATCTATGGATCTATGGATCTATGGATCTATGGATCTATGGATCTATGATCTATGGATCTATGGATCTATGGATCTATGGATCTATGATCTATGGATCTATGATCTATGGATCTATGATCTATGGATCTATGATCTATGGATCTATGATCTATGGATCTATGATCTATGGATCTATGATCTATGGATCTATGATTTATGGATCTATGGATCAATGATTTATGGATCATTGGATCAATGATCTATGGATATATGATTTTTGGAACAATGATCTACAGATCAATTATATATGGATCAATGATCTATGACTCTATGATCTATGGATCAATGATCTATGATCTATGATCTATGCATCAATGATCTATGATCTATGATCTATGATCTATGATCTATGATCTATGGATCAATGATCTATGATCTATGGATCAATGATCTATGATCAATGATCTATGATCTATGGATCTATGATCTATGGATCTATGATCTATGGATCTATGATCTATGAATCAATGATTTATGGATCAATGATTTATGGATCAATGATCATTGGATCAATGATCTATGGATCTATGATCTATGGATCTATGATCTATGGATCTATGATCTATGGATCTATGATCTATGGATCTATGATCTATGGATCTATGGATCTATGATCTATGGATCTATGATCTATGGATCTATGATCTATGGATCTATGATCTATGGATCTATGATTTATGGATCTATGATTTATGGATCTATGATTTATGGATCTATGATTTATGGATCTATGATTTATGGATCTATGATTTATGGATCAATGATCTATGGATCAATGATCTATGGATCAATGATCTATGGATCAATGATCTATGGATCAATAATCTATGGATCAATAATCTATGGATCAATGATCTATGAATCTATAGATCTCTAGATCAATGATATATGGATCAATGAGGTATGTATAAATGATCTAGTGATCAATGATCTATGGATCTATGATCTATGGATCTATGGATCTATGATCTATGGATCTATGATCTATGGATCTATGACCTATGGATCAATTATCTATGGATCTATGATCCATGGATCAATCATCTATGGATCTATGGATATATGGATCTATGGTTATATGATCTATGATTTACTGTCATCATTATCTTCATCTGGATTAGCTTAATCTTTATTTTATTTTGATTGTTATATTTTAAATTGTTAATGTAATATTTATACAAACTATTATTTACAATTTGTGAATATTATTTATAAATATATAAATGTTTGCGAATCTAAATTTTTATATTTAATTTCTGTTTTACATTTTTTTTATTAGATAAATGTTTCATAAAAGTTGAGTGAATTCAATTTTGTCATGTACAGTGATAGGCGGGTGAGGGAGGTTCTTCAATGTAGTGTAATAATTTTTAATGTATATATCTTTTTGGGGTATATTCAAATTATTCTATTGTATAATCATTTCTTGACTATATAATATTTCCTTAGTAAAAAATTTCATTGGTGTTCCCTGGCCTTGGGCGACTTTTGGGGTATTCGATATTGGCTTCCGTCTCTCGGCGAGGAGAGCTAGTTACCGAGTTAGCTGATTGGATGCCTGGAGGGAGCTGGCGCGGCGGTGCGTAATGGGCACGCCGCGGCTCGGGGAACTGTAATGTCATAATAGAATAGCGATGTTAGTAATACCATCGTGGTACATAGCGATTCGCTGGCTGAATGAGTGAGCGAGTGAAGCAATTTGCATCGCATTGTGTACTCGTTACTGCTCCATCTGTCTCGTACCTAACATAGATGTAAATATATATATATATATATTCGTACGTGTTCAGTTTCTAACGGAACCGCACCAATGTCCTGACAATCAGCGCCCCTCCCTCCCCAGGAGTCTATTCCCTACACAAACCCTCTACTCCATTGTCGTTATCGTTTATTAGCCGCTCCATCGCCTCCGCATCGACCACTCTTCAATGAAACCAAAATGTCCAAAACCACCACTACTTTCTCCATTCCAAGTGGCTAATCCCATTATTCGCATTGACAGGATTTTAACGATACAAATTCACCCAAATGTTTCTTTTGACATCCGAGATTTAAGCTTCTCTAAATAATTTCATTATTGGAAATACCATTGAAACAAATAATATTTCTCGCACAATGAAAAAAAATTTTAGGCATACAAAATTTATCATCAAAAATATAAAATATTGTAAAAATAGAAATTTTACGCAATAAATGAAGAAATTTGTCAGTTACTGACAAAAGATATACACATCAAACATATATAAAGCTTTTCACGCAATTGTTAAAGGATGCGCAAAACGACAGTCGAATCATAAATGCAAACATTTTATTTGACGCGACGACGAAGAATATAAAAATGGGGTGAGTGTCCCTCACTATATAGACTTGAATATAGAAGACTTTGATCTCACCCTGTTTCACTTCCAACTTACGCTCCCGACAAAAAATATCAACTAAACGATAACCGTATTTATTATTCATTCGGTCGCTCATTCTCTTTTCTATATATATATATATACACCGATATATATCTCCCTAACTTCAATTCACAAAGTAGTTTTTCTTTCAAAAGAATTCCATAAAATCGACCTGGGGAATACCAAAAAAGTATGCGAATTCACTTTTTTTTTTGTTACTTATTGAAAATTCGTCTCTCAATTGAATCAATCGTCACAATAAAAATGGAAAAGTAGTTGAAATAATCGCAAATGGTATATATATAATATTCCACTTTTCATATTATAGATTCAATTTCAAGAGGTTTCCTAAAATCATATGCATTTCGCAATTTTTTTTTTTTTTTAATAGATGAACAAAAAAAAAATTGCCTTGAATTGGAATTGCACACGTTATCAATAATTAGATCCGTTCAACCCGAATTCAGAAGCGAATTAACGAAGTTCCGTCGATTCCCTCATTTTCTCATCCGATCCGGATTCCAGCTTTAACCTGATTATCCTTCTTGTTCGGAACGTAGAAAAGTTTCCAGGATTTTTACGTGATTCTCTCATTTTAACTTCCCCCGGGTAGAGGCAAAATCTTTAATTGAATCTCAATTTTCATTTTGTGGTTTCAATAATATATACTTAATTAATATTTCTTTATGGAAGGGGTAAAAAAAAAATTTCTTTGAAAAAAAGTTAATGTTTCTGTGTCGCAATAAGGATTTGGGAAAATTTAACTTTTTTTTTTTTAATAAATTGAACACACTGAAAATATGATTAGACGTAAACACTCCATTTTATGCGGAGGAGAAAGCCACCTTGGGTCGGGCGTAATGCGACGGTCTGAGTGACAGCAGACAGACAGCTGGGGACTTAAGGTTGCCTCTGAAGCCATTTTGGCTGTAACTCCTGGGCGACAGATGATTTAACACCGAGATCCAACCTTGTCAAAATACCAACATCGCGAAATTTTACTCCTTTATTTCACTTTCGAGAAAAATTGAAAATAATCTATATATTGTATCAAGATAAATAAATTTATCTTTGTAAAATCCATACATTAGTTTAAAAAATTTTCATCAGTATAATTTAAAATCGATTTAAATCCCGATTGGAAAAAATCAACCTCAAATAGAGTTGAGCGGCTTATAGAGGGAACGAATTTGATGAATCTAGTTTGTTAAAGCGCCGAGGAAAAAAGGAACAGAGACTCCACTTCAACTGTGACAGAATCCCGAGGGTAAAAAATGACCTATGGTAGGATCTTTTCTCGGGGAAGTCCCGTAGGTTTCCTGTCAGTCTAGATTCGTTCAAGAACCCTCTTATATAAACCCGCTAGGGATACAAGTGAACCACGAGAAATGTCGAAAGGTGAAAAGGAGAGATGGAAACTTGTGAGATTCGAGTCC